TGTGCAAGAATGTTTATAATATTTACTTTTTTTTAAAATGATATTTATTAAAGTTTCAAAAAAGATTACATTGATAAGAAAAAGAAAAATACAAAATGCAAAAAAAAACCAACACAATTAAAAACAGTTCCATCTTTTCATCCCTTATCTTTCATTTACTTGTTTCCCGGACCTCCTCATGTCTCCTTTTTTGTATTCCAGTTCAATTTATTAGTTCAGCAATTCCTTTCCCTCCTTATTTTATCCTAATCTTTAATCTTAATATATTATAACATTAAGTTTTGACCTATTGAAAATCCAATTTTTCCATATTCTTTTACCATTACAGCTAGAAACCACTTAACTTCAATCCAACATCATTCTAACATTCATTAATTTTGCAATATTTCTGTAAATAGTCTTTAAATTTCTTCCAATCTTCTTCCACTGACTCTTCTCCCTGGTCTCGGATTCTACCAGTCATTTCCGCCAATTCCATGTAGTCCATCATTTTCATCTGCCATTCTTGCAGCGTGGGTAGATCTTGTGTCTTCCAATGCTTTGCAATAAGTATTCTTGCTGCTGTTGTAGCATACATAAAGAAAGTTCTGTCCTTCTTTAACACCGATTGGCCGACTATGCCCAGGAGAAAGGCCTCTGGTTTCTTTAAGAAGGTATATTTAAATACCTTTTTTAATTCATTATAAATCATCTCCCAGAAAACCTTAATCCTTGGGCACGTCCACCAAAGGTGAAAGAATGTACCTTCAGTTTCTTTACATTTCCAACATTTGTTATCGGGCAAATGGTAGATTTTTGCAAGCTTGACTGGGGTTATGTACCACCTGTATATCATTTTCATAATATTCTCTCTTAAGGCATTACATGCCGTAAACCTCATACCTGTGGTCCATAACTGGGCATTGTTGGGAGTGATATAAATAGAAAGGAATATAAGCTTTTTTTTATATGCAATAACAGCAGCAAGAATACTATTGGCCCAAAAACGGAAGCAAGAAGAATTACCGACGATTGAAGAATGGAGGATGAAGTTAATGGACTATGCAGAATTAGATAAACTAACAAGAAGGATTTGAAACCGGCGGGACCAGAAATTCACGGAAGACTGGAGTAAATTTACGGACTATTTGAAAAGTATTTGTGAAGATCAGATGATGTTTGTAGGTTTACAAGAAGTTTTGGAAGGTGTATTATTGGAAGAATTGCAAAAATGGAGAAGGGGAAAGATGATTTGTTAAGAGTTAAGAGATGTAAAGGCAATATAAAGTTAAGAAATGCATAAGAAGTGGTTAAAACGGTGGATCATCAGAGGTGCTGATGGAAGTCTAAAAAGATTGTATAAGTCTTGTGGTACATTTTATAAATTATATGTTAAAATCGATAAAGAATATTTTTTTAAAAAAGAATGTTTATAATAAGGCTTGCATAAAAAGGCACAGATTCGTGAAAATAGCATTAAAACGAATTATATTCGGCAGAATATGCTTTGCGAAAAATGTGCACATTGGGCAGAATTGCATGCAGAAGTTTTTTTTGTGTGTGTGTGTCAGAGAGAGAGAGCAGAAATTTGCACTAAAATGGTGATGAAATTTCAGAAGGAATTTTCTTTATAATGCAAATTGTTGCGGAACTGCGGAGAGCTGAATTTAAGGCTGAGAAACCGAGGGAAATCGACATTGACAGGATTGCTGAGAGAAACACTGAAACGGACCGATTCTCCTGTCCCTCATTTTTACTACGATGTTCCTTCTCGCTGCGGATCCAGTCTCCATCTGGCTGGGTGGGAAGCTTCTCTGCTACCAACAGCTGCCACAAAAGGAGCATTGTACCGACTGAGAAAAGTCATCAGGAAAGGTCTTCTGGGTGGGTAAGCCCAGAAATGCGCTGACGTCTCAGAATTGCTCCTCGCTGCCTGCTTTTGTCTCGAGGCAGCTGCCTCCCACCCCACCCCTGCTCCCCAGACAGAGATTGATGGTCTCCCTAATGACGGTCAGCGAGATCCTTTTCTCTCGGTCTTCTCCCTTGTTCGTTCCCCACAGCGTGGGGCCTGCTCTTTGAATTCAACACACCCAGCGCTCTTTCATGTTGAGCTCGATGTGTGGAGGGCTCCTACAGGCCACGTCGCGAGGACAACAGCCATTGTGGAAGCACTGATACAACAGAAACCAAACTGCCTCTGGATCACAGAGCCTCCCCGTTTTCTGCCTCAAACTGAACAGCTTCTGCCAATGAATTTTGTCCAATTATGGCTGGCCGGCTTCAATGAAAATGAAAGGGATCTGTTTCGGTGGTGCCCTTGCTGACCTCCTGCCCAACGCCATTGTTAGGGGGTTGGCAACCATCCACATCTGCAGGGCCTCGCCTTTCTAGGGCAGGGCAAAAGGTGGCTCTCTAACAAATCTGTGCTAAATGGAATAATTTGATCAAGCCAAATGTGTAGTTTCGGTTTGACCCTATTTGAAATAAAAGGACAGATGCGCGCTTATTTGCCTCCAGAGCAAATAAGCGGGAATACTTTGCTGCCTCCTTGCACCCAATGTGGCCTGTATATATTCATTATTTCCTGCTGCAGGGGGCAGTTAGCTGCCATAGAGCAAATACACACAAAGGCACCTCGGAACCCCAATTCCAACCTCCAGAAAGCAGATAAGAACTCAGCCCTGGGCCTCAACATGAGCAAATGTTTATTAGCTGTAAACGTGAAGCTGTAGCTCAGTGGAACAGTATTGCTTGGTGGGCAGAAGTTACCAGGTTTAATTCCTGGTATTTCCAGGTAGAGTTATGGTCCCCACTCTGAAACTCCTGGACAGCTGCCAGTCACTGTAGACAGTATAAGTATTTAATTTATTAATTTATTATTATTATTATTAAATACTAAAGCAGATTAGAATTCACACCAGCATTTCTAAGCATCTCAGTAGGCTTGTCTAAGCAATAATGTTTTGGGTAAATGTAAAGGGACCCCTGACCATTAGGTCCAGTCGTGGCCAACTCTGGGGTTGCGGTGCTCATCTTGTTTTACTGGCTGAGGGAGCCGGCGTACAGCTTCCGGGTCATGTGGCCAGCATGACAAAGCCGCTTCTGGTGAACCAGAGCAGCGCACGGAAATGCCATTTGCCTTCCCGCCGGAGCGGTACCTATTTATCTACTTGCACTTTGACGTGCTTTCGAACTGCTAGGTTGGCAGGAGCTGGGACCGAGCAACGGGAGCTCACCCCGTTGCGGGGATTCGAACTGCCGACCTTCTGATTGGCAAGTCCTAGGCTCTGTGGTTTAACCCACAGCGCCACCCGTGTCCCTAATAATGTTTTTAGCAGGCAGCAAAAAGAATAGAGTGAAAACTACTGCTTGATATCAATAGGCAGGGAGTTCCAATGTGCAGTTTCTGCCTCATGAAACGGCCAAATACGTACAAATGTGGAACGGTTCTTACGGTGCAGAGCATGTCAAAATGCAGGCGTTCCTTCTTTGTGCCTCACCTCAAATTTCTCTATACTAGCACCATCTTGAAGCAGAGCGTCTGCTGTGTGGCAGTCTGCCTTTACGTCTCTCAGTTGATCCCTTACAATTAACTCTTTACTGAATCAGTCAATCATGTTTCAGCGTTCTCTCCCCCCAGCCCCCAAACCCTTCCATTCTAGCAAGTCGCACCTTGCCGAAAGCTATAAATCATGAGGATTGCAATTATTGTGCGTTACCTCAAACCACTGTAATTATACAATTAAGTTGTGACGGGAGGTCCTCAGCTTTTGGCTTCACAATGTGGTGCTTAATGTAGTGATTAAACTATCTCTGTACAAATGGGGCTAATTGGAAGAAAATGGGTTTTACTGAGGGGCGGCTCGAAAACAATGTCTGCGCCGGTTGAAAAAGGAATTTGCGCGAGGACAAGCTTCTCGTGACACAAAAGAACAGGGCGTTCCTGCTCCAGGGGAAGGAGAAAGAAGCTGAAAGAAGGAGGAAAGAAACAACAAGCAGACTCTGAGACTGCCTGGGATGAGAAGAGGTGTTCTAGAATGTTCCATCCTTGGCAAGTCAAAAAATCTAATCCATTTCAGCACCATCATTTTTAACAAGATTTTCATTGATGTCCATGAGAACCTCTCAGACGTCAATCGTTGTGAAGGACACAAGAGCTCTCTGATGGGTAATGGATGGCCTGGACTGTTGACGGACATTCTGAACTCTGCTCAGCTGTGAAGGCCGTAGGGCAGCCTTAAGGCAACGTGCCCCAGAGGGTGTTAGGATTTGCCTCCTGTGGCTTCCTGTGAGTAGTTGACATTGATAGGTCGACATTGGCAGGTGTGGGGGACTCCCTGGTCCTGAATGGGGTTAACTGTGCCTCTGAAGTTAACCCAGGTGCGCAGCCTGGGAGTCATTTTGGACTCACAACTGTCCATGGAGGCACAGGTCAATTCTGTGTCCAGGGTGACTAACTACCAGCTTCATCTGGTATGCAGGCTGAGACCCTCCCTGCCCGCAGACTGTCTCGCCAAAGTGCTGCATGCTCTGGTTATCTCCTGTTTGGACTACTGCAATGCGCTCTACATGGGGCTACCTTTGAAGGTGACCCAGAAATTGCAACTAATCCAGAATGCGGCAGCCAGACTGGTGAAACCCAGTCAGATGGGTGGGGGTATAAATTATAAATTATTATTATTATTATTATTATTATTATTATTATTATTATTAGCAGAAACCTCCACAAAGTTGCCTAATCTGCTCTTGAAGCCATCTAAGTTGGCATCATTCCATTTTTGTGGAAGGCGATTCCAGAGTTGAACCAGGTACTTCCTTTTGTCTGTCCCCCAGCCTTTTCTACACAGTGGTGGCCTCTCTTTACGGCAGACCACCCTACACCACAAGGAGGTAGATATTGAGCAGTGTGGTGCAGCTGAACTCTGGAAGATGCTGCACATTGAATCCATTGATTGATCCATCCATCTCACCATTGACCAGTAACGGCTCTCCAGGCTTCTAGAAAGGGGTACCTCCCAGCCCTGCCTTGAGATGCCAGGGATTGAGCCTGGGACCTTCTGCATGCAAAGCAGGTGTTCCACCACTGAGCTATGGCAAAGCATCATTTGGCTTAGAACTGCACAATCAGAATGGAAATCAGCACCCAGCTCAAGGGGAGTGGCCACAACAGTTATAGCTATATAGCTATTCTGGGGTCTGGGTCTGGCTGTGCTATGGGTCTTCATCTTAAGATCTAATAACAAAAATGCTATGTTTTCTCTGCTGGGGTATACATGCTATATGTTCATGCTGCAACTTGGGGCTCCTGATGCCCTTCTGATGTACTCCGTAAATCTCCGTGGTAATCCCTGTTAATGCTCCAGATATCGGAGGGATAGACTGCCTATCTCTCAATTTGATCCAGCTTTCAAGAGCATAATAATGTCAGTATTACATTGTTGATAATCGTTTTCTTAAATGCTGGATTTTTAAAAAAGAAAAGAAAGAAGATTGGTTGTTGTGCAATAGGGAAGGAGGATACACACACAGAGAGAGAGAGACAAACACACTGATTGCAGTGGATGAACTCAGTTTGGTGGCCCTGAACTTGCCTACAGATTGAAGAATGTTTCCCAATCTGATTGTGCATTTCTGCAGATTTTGCAGTGCGGTTTCGGTGTGCAAAAAGTACACACAAACAAATGTGTATGTTACAGTTAAAATGTGATTAAAATTCCTATTTTATGGGGCAATGCTTTGAAAAGCATTAATAAATGTCTTTGGGGGGAAAACCTGTATAAAAAAGCATCTAATTTCAGTGCCATCTTTTCATACAATCTTTCAAACAATCTGTGTAAAATGTGATGGAACAGACCTATGATCGAGTGTCAGTTATGGATATGAAAGTCTGTCAATTTTGTTTTCATTCCGTTTCTCGCTTTTCCAGTCTTAAGTTCAATTCACAACATTTCTGCATCACTTTGCAATTTTTTAAAAAATTAAAAGTCCCCATGAAAATTTACCGGTGCAAATTTCTTCTAATGCACATTTGGATGTGATTTTTCCTAATATACACGTTTTCACAAAACAATTTCCTCATACAGAATGCATTTCTGCATGTGATTTTCAGTATGTGCATTTTTATATACAATACTGGGCTGCAGACCTGCATTACAAAATCCAAAGAAGCATGGATTTCCAAATATAACTGTGATTTGGTTCATTTATTACAGAATCATGCAATCATAGAATTGCAGATTTGGAAGGGACTCTGAGGCTCATCTATTCCAACCAATTTAGAAATCTGAATTAGATCACACCTGACAGATGGCCACCCAACTTTTGCTTAAAACCCTCCAAGGAAGAAAAGTCCATCCCCTCTTATGGGAGTCTGTTCCACCCCGTATTGTGTTGAAAAGTGAAAATTCAGAAAATTTGCCTTTCACTGTGAACCCCATCACAATATACTTACTAAGCAAGATGAAATCGTATTCATTTTACCCAAATATTTTTTGAATTCCCAAGTTATGTTACAGCTTTTTTAGCACCCCTCATTTTTGGAATTTGAAAGTTGAAAAATTCAACAGGCCTGTGTTAGGAACCTTGCTTCTAAGTTACCCACACCAGCGCAAAGCCTGAATTCAGCAGCCATGCTTCAACAGAGAATGCAACAGGAGGTGTGTTTTTTTTACACCCATCAAGGAAGTTCAAACTCCTATATATTGTACCATCCTTCGTTTGCACATGCAGGAGATCTGTGGATTTGGGCCGATGAGTGTACAAGAATAATGTTAAACAACAACTGATGAACTCCCTTTACCGGTCCACAATAGACAGTGTCCTTTCATATTGTATCACAGTGTGGTATGCTGGCCTGACAGCCACAGACAGAAAGTCTCTACATTGGGGGGTAAACACAGCACATGATATCATGGGCTGTCCCTTGAGTCCGCTAGATGACATCGCAAGGGATCGTTGCCTTAGGAGAGCAAGAAAAATTCTCAGGGATGACTCACACCCTGACCATCACCTCTTTAATCTTCTACCCTCGGGCAGGAGATATAGAAGTATAATCAGCCGTACCAACAGGCTAAAAAATAGCTTCTATCCGTGGGCTGTTAGGCTGTTGAACGGAAAATAACATAGCGAAATTGACTTGCGAGGTGGTGTGTCGTTCGATAAGAGATTGAGTGTTTGGGCGGGGGGAGGGAGGCTCTTTTAATTTCGTTGTACACAGGTTGTACAATGACAATAAAGGTATTATTATTATTAAGTGGAGTCCAATCTTTAATTTCTTATCTCATCACTGCGAAATGCACAAGGATATACAATGCTGCCGTGAGACTGGAGACCTTGTTGATGACTTACATGCGTAATGAAGGATGAACAGCCTACTGGAGATTATCAGTTTAATTCTTCAACTGTTCTGTTTCTTTCATTCCTGCTGAGTAACCTTTAATCCTCCACTCCTGACATGCGTTTGGGTACCTCCTCCCCTTATCGTGTCTCCCCCAACCCCAGATCTGCCCTCCAAGCCCACCAAAAGCAACACCTTACTGTTGAACAACGACACAGAGGGAGAAGATGACATTGAGCGTGTGTGGTTGAACGCCGGGAGATAAAAACAATGTAAGAACGATGGAGATTCTCAGAGCTTATCAGCCAAATAGGACACCGGATTGGGGAAGAAAGGAAAGAAAAAGCAATCAATGTAAAGCTCTTATCAAACCGTCTCTCAGGAATAGATTGTTTTAAAAATAAAAATAAAAAAATCTGTTATTGCTCAAGGGGGAAATATTATGAGATTATTTTAAAGCAGTTTTATTGGAGAGAGATTTGGTACATTACATTGAGTTCCAGCAATCATTGGGAGAATCTATCTCTGCATCTAGCTATTCTCCCACTATCAATGGGACTTATTTTAGAGTAGTCATGGATATAGGACTGCACTGTGTGTCAATGAACTGCCTAGATCGGGGGTGAATTTAAGGATCTACATTGGCTCCCATACATTTCTGGTGTTGATGCTGACCTTGAAAGCCCTAAAGGGCCTTGGTCCTGTATACCTGAAGGAGTGTCTCCACCCCCAACCCAGGCACTGGGGTCCAGCTCCGAGGGCCTTCTGGCAGTTCCCTCACTGTGAGGTGTGAAACTACAGGAAAACAGGCAAAGGGCCTTCTCGGCAGTGGTGCCCCTGTAGAATACCCACCATCAGATATCAAGGAGCTAAATAACTACACAGCTTTTAGAAGACAGCCGAAAGCAGCCCTGTTCAGGGAAGTTTTTAATGGTTGATGTTTTACTGTGTTTTAAAGACAGTATTACCTTGGGTTACCACTGTAACAGGGACGTGGGTGGTGCTGTGGGTTAAACCACAGAGCCTAGGACTTGCCGATCAGAAGGTTGGTGGTTTGAATCCCTGCGACGGGGTGAGCTCCCGTTGCTCGGTCCCAGCTCCTACCAACCTAGCAGTTTGAAAGCACGTCAAAGTGCAAGTAGATAAATAGGTACCGCTCTGGTGGGAAGGTAAACGGCGTTTCCGTGTGCTGCTCTGGTTCGCCAGAAGCGGCTTAGTCATGCTGGCCACATGACCTGGAAGCTGTACGCCGGCTCCCTCGGCCAATAAAACGAGATGAGCGCCGCAACCCCAGAGTCGGTCACGACTGGACCTAATGGTCAGGGGTCCCTTTACCTTTACCTTTTACCTTGGGTTAAGCACTTAATTCGTTCTGGAGGTCTGTTCTTAACCTGAAACTGTTTTTAACCTGAAGCACCACTTTAGCTAATGGGGCCTCCCACTGCTGCTACACCGCCAGAGCACGATTTCTGTTCTCATCCTGAAGCAAAGTTCTTAACCCGAGGTACTATTTCTGGGTTATCGGAGTCTGTAACCTGAAGCGTATGTAACCTGAAGCGTATGTAACCCGAGGTACCACTGTATTTGGTTGGGAGCCACTCAGAGTGGCTGGGGCCAGACTAGATTAGCTGTTGGCCTGATCTATCAGGTCACTTCTTTTGTTCTTATGCACAGTTGGAGAGACCAACTGTGATTTCTGAGCATCACTTGTAGGGAGCACCGTCATTCTTCTCTGGCTTGCTGGCTTTCCTGAAGTTGGATCACAAGCTCTCCCAAAAGAAGAATTCAATGTGCCCAACCTGCACCCAGGCAGTTCCCTCAAGCCAGAATGCTACAATAGGCGTTTCCTAACTATTCAATAGCTCATGAATATTTCAGGATAATAAATGTCAAATTAAATGCTTAACGATCTTGTTTACACTTAGAAGACCTTGAGAAGGATCCATTAAAAATAAAATAAAAAATGAAGTCACAGAACACTTGCTTTTTGGGAAACAGGAACACACCAAAAATGTGGCATGGCACGAGTGACTCAAGCAGGGATGGAGTCACAGATAGGCTGCAGGCCTGCTGTCAGATGTCAAGGAAATAAACAATTATCTGACTTATAGAAGACTTCCGAAGGCAGCCCTGTATAGGGAAGTTTTTAATGCTTGATTTCCTAAAAGGTAAAGGGTAAAGGGACCCCTGACCATTAGGACCAGTCGTGACCGACTCTGGGGTTGCAGCGCTCATCTTGCTTTATTAGCAGAGGGAGCCAGAATACAGCTTCCGGGTCATGTGGCCAGCATGACTAAGCTGCTTCTGGCGAACCAGAGCAGCACACGGAAATGCAGTTTACCTCCCCGCTGGAGTGGTACCTATTTATCTTCTTGACTTTGACGTGCTTTCAAACTTCTAGGCTGGCAGGAGCAGGGACCGAGCAACAGGAGCTCACCCCGTCGTGGGGATTTGAACTGCCGACCTTCTGATCGGCAAGCCCTAGGCTCTGTGGTTTAATCCACAGCGCCACCCACAACTCGCTTGATGTCTTACTAAATTTAATTTGTTGGAAGCAGCCCAGAATGGCTGGGATAACCCAGTCAGATGGGCAGCATTTAGATAATAAATTATTATTATTATTATTATTAGTAGTAGTAGTAGTAGTAGTAGTAGTATTACTTTTTCCCATTGAAAACAATGAGCATACCCTCCAACATCTGCTGATAAAAATCAGGACGCTCATTTTTTTGGGGGGGGGGTCTCAGCTCTTGTAGGAGCCAGCT